TAAAATTTTTTAAAAAATTAGTTTCTAAACACTATAGTCTTTGTAGTCATTAGTGTGTTTTTTTTTTTTAAAGTAGTCTCCATGTACAACAGAGGGCTCAAACTCATGACCCCAAAATCAAGAGTCCCATGCTCTACTGACTGAACCAGCCAGGTGCCCCTAAAATCTTTTTTTTTTTTTTTAATTACTATATAGGGGGCAGTCCAGGTGGCTCAACAGTGTAGCGCCACCTTCAGCCCAGGGCCTGATCCTGGAGTCCTGGGATCAAGTCCCACGGCGGGCTCCCTGCATGAAGCCTGCTTCTCCCTCTGCCTGTGTCTCTGTCTCTGTGTGTGTCTCTCATGAATAAATAAATAAAATCTTTAAAAATAAATAAATTACTATATAGTTCTCAATCATTCAAAAATGAATGAAATATTTGAGTTACTGTCATTTATATCTTTATATCTTTCAAGAAAAGTCTCAATGTGGCTAGATAGACTAAAACATATTTTCAAGGAGAGTATTAAAAAATTTTTTTTAATCTTTATTTATTTATGATAGTCACAGAGAGAGAGAGAGAGAGAGAGAGAGAGAGAGAGAGGCAGAGACACAGGCAGAGGGAAAAGCAGGCTCCATGCACCAGGAGCCCGACGTGGGATTCGATCCCAGGTCTCCAGGATCGCGCCCTGGGCCAAAGGCAGGCGTCAAACCGCTGTGCCACCCAGGGATCCCGAGTAATAAAAATTAATATGGTTTAGGGGCACTTGGGTGGTGCAGCTGGTTAAGCATCAGGCTCTTGGATTCAGCTCAGGGCATGACCCCAGTGTCGTGAGATCAGCCTGGATTGGGGCTCTGTGCTCAGCTGTGAGTCTGCTCTCCTTCTCCCTCTCCCTTTGCTCCTCCTCCAGCTCACACACACTCTCTCTAAAATGAATAAATCTTAAAAGAAAATTAATACAGTTTAATAGCAAAAATTCCCTCTTTCTCTAAATTTAAAGATTCCTTTATCTAAAATGAAAAAGCAAAAATTTATCTCCATTTTACTTGATTTATATTTTCCAGGATTTTTAAATGTCTGAAAAAATGGCACTTTCATGGTGTCCTTTGATTCTGAACCTATAGCACTTTCTTCCTATTACTTCCCAAACATACCAACTGTGCCTTTATTTGCATGACATCACCTCCTCTGGTGAGTACAAGCTAGGGCTCTGATGCCTCCTCTTCACTCTGTAGCTAGAAGCTATGCTTTCACACCGTTAATACTGTATCCCTGTTCAATTTGCTGAAAGCACAGTTTGGAAAGTGATTCTACTGCTTAAGGCCAGTTCAGAAGCCCTCCCAAACAGACTGCCATTAAGACCACTTCTCGCTCCAAAGCTGGCTGTGACCAACTGTTCTACTTCAAGGAGGCAATTATTTCTGGCAATATGTCTTTAGATCAGCTTTTCTCTAATTACAAGTTTATCACTGCCTTATGGATAAATCAATAGCATCTTTGTTCCTATCTCTTGGATCAGAAGTAGAAACTCTTGAGGGGACATGATCCTATGAATTTGGCCTAGGTCTTCTTCACTTGTACTTTCTCCTTCCGGGGCTGTCAGTCTTCCATAACTAAATATATTCATTCCTTTTCTGGTTCAAAAAACACAAGAGAATGATTTTTTAGTTGTCAGTCCTTCCAAAGTCCTTTTTAAGGTAAGAAAATTCTTATTTTAGCTAAGAATAACTCAATACTGGTCTATTACTGCTGCAACAACTCTCCAAAGAGCCATACAAAAGAAAAATGTGGCTTCTACCTCCCAAAGTCATTAAAGACTTTTTTTCTTTCTTATTAAGGCACCCAGAACACATAATAATACACCAAGCCAAAAGGACCAATTCTCTTCATGGAGTAGAATAGCAATTGGCTGTTACTTATTAAATTCTTACAGCAATGAGCAATGACTTGCTTTCTCATTTGTTTCTCTTTGAATAGTAGATGAAGTTTATTTTTTTCCAAGGCTGCTTCTCATCACCAGCGTTCCTGATCCTTGACCTATGCAGCTGTTAATATGCTACACACATATGCTCGGGCTCCTGAACAACCAATGCAGTTAACCTTTTGGTTTTCTCCAAGTCAGTTCCTATCTTGTTAGTGAAATTGATGTTCTTTCTTTCTAAACATAATAATTTTATCTAGTACAGAACTATATATATAATTCATTGGTTTTTATGAATCTTTTTCTCCCCAAGGGTTTCTAGGCCCATGGGTTCTCATGTTCTAATTGAGAAAGGCATGTTCATTCATAGTAATTCCAAAAGGTGAGCTACTATGTCTACTTCAAAAACATAATTATTACCTCTTCTGTGTTTGGGCATGGGTCATTGCTGGAGACCACGTTTTACCTTTACTCTCAAAGAAAAGTTAATTCCTTAGATTGAATATAGGTGAAATTATATTTTCTGCAGCTAATGATTAAAAAGTAAAATACTGGTGACTGTCAAAGGACACTTCGTTCTAACTATCTGTGTTCAAAGGGACTTCTCCTCCATACTCATAACTTGCCCCACCATTTTGTACTGTACTGACTATTAACCATCTCTACCCCTCAAAGACAGGAAGCTCCTGGAAGGTAGGGACTAATTCATAATGAATTAGTTTTATCTGCAGGACACACGGTCTAGCAGATGGCATACAGTCAATAAGTATTTCTGTTGGTGTTAGTATTGCATTCAATTCAAAGTGTACTTAAATAGACCCAGTTTTAGACTAACTGGCATACACCACTGCTCCAACATTTATGAAATGACTTTGAATTAGATCATCACAGTTCAAACAGATATGCCTAACTTCAAATACCTAATGATTTCTACCTACACACTGAGAATCTTTATGGGAGGCAAGAGAAACAATGCTATCCTGTGATTTGAAACTTTTGGTTATAATTCAGACTCGGCTACTAACTAGCGGTAACCTCTGGCAAGTCACTTTAACCACAGTGGATCTTGTGCCCTTAGAGACTGAAGTGGATTAAATGGTCTCTAAGTCCCTAGCTGAGCCTAGCTCTAAAACTCTGATGAGGCATGACCCAGTAAGGGTACTACTAATATAGCAAGCCCTTGTTAACACTAGAGGGAGCTGCACCCATGTCATTACTGGGGTGGTTAGGAAGATTTCAAGGCAGAACATCGTTAAATTGGAAGGCTGGCTTTCCAGAATGAGAGAAATGAAGTATCAGATGAGACACCCATACTGTTCCTGCAGCTCTTCCATCACCTCCCTCTCAGAGATGTCACAGCACCTCGCACTTGACTTTCACCAGCACACCTTTTGAGCTTTAATTCTGATTCCAAAAGAATCAAGTTGGTTTGAGTCATTCCTACAGATTTCTTTTCCCCATTTAGTCTCCTTTCTTCTTTAATCAAACTAACAATAACAACAAAAAAGCAAAGTGATTAATGCTTTTATTGGAAAAGCCCCAGGCAATGAGATGGAGGAGGAGAAAGATGCGTATCACACTCAAGTTAGGGCCTGGGAAAATCAGGAAATGACAGCTGAATTCATTAGCAGCTTGCCACTCAAACCAAAGCTACCACAGCTACTTTGAAAACAAGAAAACTACTCAAAAATGAGGAAAGCTATCAAGGAAAAGAAGAAATCGACATAGCTCTGCAGTGTAGGAGCCTGAATGCCTGCCTAAAAACGAATGCCGTCACAGTCATGTCAGGCTCTGCAGTAAGCAGTTCACAGCTGCCGAAGTGATGTCATTAATTAGGGGTAATGGGGTCACATTAGGCAGTTGGCAAGAAAAGTGCTAAATGACCAGATAAGGGAATGGAGGATGACGTGGGAAAGGAAAAAGAAAAAGCATTTTTAAAGCTAAAGCTTATTCTGAAGTTATATATACATACTTTCCTCCCAGCCTCAAAAACACACAAGGCCTTGAAAATATATGACCTGGGCAGCCCAGGGTGGCTCAGTGGTTTAGTGCTGCCTTCAGCCCAGGGCCTGATTCTGGAGACCCAGGATCGAGTCCCATATGTCAGGCTCCTGCTTCTCCCTCTGCTTGTGTCTCTGCCTCTCTGTGTGTCTCTCATGAATGAATAAAATCTTTAAAAAAGAAAATATATGACCTAAATCATTACAGAACAAGTAAAATGAAGAATCCAAAACCTCTCCATTTTATCCACTTCTGTTTCCGTTTGCCCAGAGGCACAATGATGACATGTTAACCTGACAGAGATGGCATAAACCATGGATATTACAGAATGTAGTCTGTAGGAGAAGGATAAATGCAATCCTGAAGAATGCTTTTTATGGAAACTTCATAGATTAACACTCAGAAAGCAAAGCTTTAACAGAAAGAAACCACCTACTTTTCAGGACAGGGGCTATTCCTGAGTAAAAACAGATTACAAATAAACTTTAGAGAGTGACTGTGGATAAAGAGAAAGGCAACTAGAACAAAACAAACAATTCTTTTTCACTTAAAAAAAAAAGCAAACTCAGGATGCCTGGGTGGCTCAGTCAGTTAAGTGTCTGCCTTCAGCTCATGTCGTGATCGCAGGGTCCTGGGATCGAGTCCTGCACCAGGCTTCCTGCTCAGCAGATATTCTGCTTCTCCCTCTCCCTCTGCTCCTACCCCTGCTAATGTGAGGAACTCTCTCGCTCGCTCTCTCAAATAAATAAAATCTTTTTTAAAAACAAGCAAAGTCAGACCTTCAGAGGTAAAATACAGAGTAAAACTTACCAGGTTAAGATCAATGTATTGCCTATGAGTCCAAGTAGGTAGGGTACTTGTTTCTGAAATCATCAGTTTAATTTCCAGTACTCTAAGAGATATCATAGCCTCAACAGATTCAAAAAGATTTCTCTTCCTTTAGGACATTAAAAAAATTTTTTTTTCAACCAGACTTTTCAATGATCCTCAAGAGAAGCATGAGAAAAATACACTTTACTTTTAAAAGGAGAATGATGTTTTCCCCTTTTTTTAGTACACACGCCAAAGGATTTCCAATTCACCCTGCTACATACTGACCTTCAAAATGTTTCGGCCATCAAATGATTCTCTTTCCTTGAAGATGTATTTGCCATCCGCTGTGTAGAGATTGTACCTGCCTTCAGCTGTAAATATTTCAAAGATAATGTTAGAAGAGAAGCTTGGGTTATTTATATTTGTTTTCTTTTGAGTTTCTATAGGTACACTAGGAAAATACTCATGTACTACCTGGAATGTGGCATAAGAGGAAAAACATCAGTCTGAGGCAAGAGATCCAGTGTCCAGTCTCAGCTCTGTCATCAATTCAGTATACATTTATTCATTCAACACTGTCCAAGCACTCAAGGTGCTACCTAAATAGCTAACTATATTCTTTTTTTAAAATTGACGTATAGATGACATACGTTATGTTAGTTTCAGGTATACAACACAATGATTTGACAATTCTTCTTTTTTTTAAGATTTTATTCATTTATTCATGAGAGACACAGAGAGAGAGGCAGAGACACAGACAGAGGGAGAAACAGGCTCCATGCAGGTAGCCCGACGTGGGACTCAATCCCAGGTCTCCAGGATCATGCCCTGTGCTAAAGGCAGTGCTAAATTGCTGAGCCACCAGGCTGCCCTGATTGGACAATTCTATACATTACTCAGTGCTTACTACCGTTAAGTGTAGTCACCATCTGCCACACACCATCTGTCATACAATGTTATTACAATATTATTGGCTATATTCCCTATGCTATACTTTTTACCTCTGTTAACTTATTTATTTTATAACTGGAAGTTTGTACCTCTTAATCCCCTTTTACCTATTTTGCCCATCCCACCCTCACCTCCCCTCTGGCAATAACCAGTTCATTCTATTTATAAATCTGCTTTGTTTGTTTTTTAGATTCTACACATAAGTAAAATCATATGGTATTTGTCTTTTTCTTTCTGCTTTATTTCACTTTGCATAATACTCTTTTTTTAAGTTTTTTTTAAGATTATTTATTTATTTATTTATTTATTTATTTATTTATTTATTTATAGAGACACAGAGAGAGAGAGAGAGAGGCACAGAGACACAGGCAGAGGGAGAAGCAGGCACCATGCAGAGAGCCTGATGTGGAACTCCATCCAGGGTCTCCAGGATCACGCCCTAGGCTGCAGGCGGCACTAAACCACTGCACCACTGGGGCTGCCCTGCATAATACTCTCTTGGTCCATCATGTTGTCACAAATGGCAAGAGTTCATTCTTTTTTATGGCTGAGTTGTATTCTGTTGTGCATGTATACACATGTATACACATACATACCGCCATATCTTCTTTACCTACTCATCAAAAAGATAAGAATTAACAAGTGTTGACAAGGACATAGAGAAAAGGGAACCTTCATGCACTGTTGGTGGGAATGTAAACTGAAGCAACAGTATAGAGGTTCCTTAAAAAAATTAAAATAGAAATACCATACAATCCAGTAATTCTACTCTTGGGTATTTACCCAAAGAAAATGAAAACACTAATTCAAAAAGATCTATGTACCCCTATGTTTATTGCAACATTATTATAATAAGCAAAATATGGAAGCAATCTTAAGTGTCCATCAATAGAGGAATGAATAAAAAAGACGTGGGGGGTATGTATGTATAAAATTAGCCATATTCTTAGGCAAACTGTCTCCTCTAGGGACCTCAGTTTGTTTACACAGCTATAGGTTAAGACTAGGTGATTTCCAAAGGTTTCCTGCACTTTAAAAACCCAAGATTTTGTGACGCCTGGGTGGCTCAGCGGTTGAGCATCTGCCTTTGGCCCAGGGCATGATCTTGGGATCTGGGATCGGGTCCCACATCAGGCTCCCTGCAAGGGGTCTGTGTCTCCCTCTGCCTGTGTCTCTGCCCCCACCCCCCGTGTCTCTCATGAATAAATAAATGTTTAAAAAAAAAACCCAAGATTTTGTATAACCTGTATGCATTTTTAAATATGTAAAAATATATAAAAATTCACATATTAAGTAGTCAAAAATGCTGGCAACATTGATTTGGGTTGCAACCAACATGATGTGGGTTGGTTTAAGGACTCCCCCAAAATGAGAGCCCCTTTCAGTTGCAATCAAAGATATCTTTATTCTACACAGAAATGAAGCAAATCTATGACCTTAGCCTCATCAAAGCTGTGCAATAACTCCTTGTGTTAATTTAGCTTGCTTATCCCAAAAGATATCCTTAAAATATAGTAGGTAGGGATCCCTGGGTGGCGCAGCAGTTTGGCGCCTGCCTTTGGCCCAGGGCGCGATCCTGGAGACCCAGGATCGAGTCCCACGTCGGGCTCCCGGTGCATGGATCCTGCTTCTCCCTCTGCCTATGTCTCTGCGCCTCTCTCTCTCTCTCTGTGACTATCATAAATAAATAAAAATTAAAAAAATATATATAGTAGGTAAAAGGATTTCAAAGGAAAGGGATAACAAGTAAGAAACAGTGAAACACCTTTTTCTATGTCCTTTTCAAGTAAAAATTCAACACAGAGAAGAATCCAAGGTATAGAAAATTCAAAGCATCCTTAAGAATTATTTAACCCTCATGGGGGCTTGCCTGGGTGGTTCAGCTGGTTAAATGTCTGCCTTCAGCTCAGGTCATGATCCCAGGGTTCTGGAATCGAGCTCATTAGGCTCTCTGATTAGTGGGGAGTGTGCTTCTGCCTCTGCCCCTCTGCTCATGCTCTCTCTGGCTCTCTCTCTCAAATAAATAAAATCGTTAAAAAAAAAAAAAAAAAGATTTAACCCTCAAGTATTTTCTAAAATATCAACCCTTTCCTGCCCGCCAACAGACACTCAAAAATAGTTGTATTTCCACTTATGAATATGTTCTCTCTTTTTTTTTTTTTGAAATATGTTCTTTTATTGTATATAGCTATAGAGACTACCAACTCAGAATCAGTAAATTGGTGAAATATGTCTAGGCTGCTAACTCCATCAGCATAATATATGTTAGCTAGCCACTGGAATTATACACTGGTAACTTCTAACAAGAACATATTCTCTTAATCAAAGATCCCAATCTATGTATATTTCACAAATTAAAAATGGGTCCCTGTTAAGGAGAGATGTGAAACTGTAAAGATTTATTTATTTATTGGAGAGAGAGAGAGAACACACTCATATATGCCCCTGGGGAGGGGCAGAGGGAGAGGGAGAGAGAATCTCAAGCAGACTCTGTACTGAGCACAGAGCCCAAAGTGGGACTCGATCTCGCAATCCTGAGATCACGATCTTAGCTGAAACCAAGAGTCGGATGCTCAACTAACTGTACTACCCTGGTGCCCCCAAGAGAAGATATGAAACTCTAAAGTAAATTCATACTAAATAAATATCAATTAAAAGCAGTACTGAAGTGCACCTGGGTGGCTTGGTCTGTTAAGTGTTAACTCCTGATCTCAGCTCAGGTCTTGATCTCAGGGTCATGAATTCAAGCATTAAGTAGGCATAGAGCCTACTTAAAAAAAAAAAAAAGCAGTAATGATATCTGCAGATTGAAATGGTTTTTTTGAGGGGTGAGGCAGAGGAAGAGAATCCAAAGAAGGCTCCACACTGAGCACAGAGCCCCACACAAGGCTTGTTCTCACAACTGTGAGATCATGACCTGAGCCAAAATCAAGAGTTGGATGCTTAACTGATTGAGCCACTCAGGGGCCCCTGAAGACTGAAATGTTTAATGACAGGCTCAAAATCTGTAAGCAGAATTAGCCCTCAGGGAAAAGCAAATCATAAGTAAAATGAGATACCATCTCACATCTAACATGATGGAAATAATCCAAAAGATAAATAATAACAAGTGTTGGCAAAGATGTGGAAAAAATAGAACCCTCATGCACTGCTGGTAGGAATGTAAAGTGGTGCAGCCACTTTGGAAAATAGTCTGGCAGTTCCTCAAAAGGTTAAACACTGGTTACCATAGGACCCAGAAATTTCACTCTTAAGTATTATACCCAAGAGAAGTGAAAAGATATGCCCACACAAAAACTTATATAATGTTCACAGCAGCGTTAATCATAATAGTCAAAAAGAAAAAACATGAATGTCCATCAACTGAGGAATGGATAAATAAGATATGGTACATCCACACAATGGAAGATAATTTGGCAATAAAAAGAGAACAAGGCAGGAGACATGCTATATATCACATGGATGAACCATATAAACATTATGCTAAGTGAAAGAAGCCAGTCAGAGAAAATCACACATTGCACGATTCTATTTATACAAAATATCCAGGAAAGGCAAATTTATAGGACAGAAAGTAGTTTGATGGAGCCTAGGGCTAAAATGTTAGGGAATGAAGAGTCATACTGCCAATGGGGTTTCTTTTTGGAGTGATGAAAATGTTCTAAAATTGATCATGGTAATGGTTGCATAACTCTGACTATACTAAATATCACTGAATTATGTATTTTTCAAAGATTTATTTATATGAGAGTACATGAGTATGTGAGGGGAGGGAGAGTGGCCGAGGGAGAAAATCTCAAGCAGACTCCCCACCAAGCACATAGTAAGACATGGGGTTCAATCTCACAAACATGAGATCATGACCTAAGCCAAAATCAAGAGCTGGAGGTACAACCGACTAGGCCACCCAGGCACCCCTGAATTATACATTTTAAATGAATGAATCATGAAGTATGTGGATTATATCTCAATAAAGGTGTTATATTCAAACTATCTCTAAGTAGGAAAGGATAACTAGACTGTGAACACAGAACATTTTCTTACATGAAGTTCTAGCACTAAGTGAATATAAACCCGGATCCACACAATTTAGAAGATACAAATTCCTGCATATTTCAACTCTCTTATGTCAAAAGGTTAGTTAATAATGGAATATGGTTAGAGCTCTGAAGTAAGATTTAAGGACTAGGACATTTTCAGAATGCACTGCTGATAGTATTAAATGTGTAATAAAATACTGTCTATACCTGTACTGTCCAAATCAGTAGCCACTAGCCACATGTGATTATTTAAATTTAATTTAATTCAATTTAATTTAATCAGTCTCACTAGCTACCTCCAAGTGCTCAATAACTAAACTACATGTGGATAGTGGCTGCCATACCGGACATCACAAGTACAGAATATTTCTATCATCACGAGTTCTACTGGATGGCGCTGGATACAACATATCTTCTGAACCAAAGAATTTAGAGTATACTCTAGAGTTCTAGAACTCTGTCTTCATAGTGATGTTAAAATGTACCTCACCTCAGAGGATGTTTCCAAACTTAAAACTGACCATCTAGAATAAAATAAATACCACAAACTCCTGTAAGTACTCCCACTGGACAAGGTATATGCATATATAAAAATGAAATATCCCAGAGATTTTTTCCCCTGAAATTCCAAATAATCTTCTGTAATACTACTTCCAAATTAAAAAAAAAAAATGTATTCCATCAGAACTAATATAGAAATTTGGGTTCTATTACCTACCCAAATAAGAGTCTATAGGCTTTGACTGAGTCATTTCAACCATTTTTGATCTCAGTGCTCTCAAAGGTAAAATAGTGATTTATTTGGAAAAAATCTTAAATAAAATACAACCTAACATCACAAAACATTAACACTAGAACTAAAATATGGACAGCTACAAATTTCTTAGTCCTATAATGACTCTAACAAAACAAAGTTAATATTAAATGATTTCCAGCTGGGATCTTGGTATATATCTGAGAGAAATAAAAAGATGTACAGTTGACCCTTAAACAATGGGCATTAGGGACACCAAATCCCATGTAGTTGAAAATTGGTGTATAACTTTTAACTCCCCTAAAGCTAAACTACCATTGTTGGCCAAAAGCCTTACTGATAATATAACCAATAAATACATATTTTATATATTGGGGATCCCTGGGTGGCTCAACAGTTTAGCATCTGCCTTCGGCCCAGGGCGTGATCCTGGAGTCCAGGGATTGAGTCCCACATCAGCTCCCAGGATGGAGCCTGCTTCTCCCTCTGCCTGTGTCTCTGTCTGTCTGTCTCTCTCTCTCTCTCTGTGTGTCTCTCATGAATAAATAAATAAAATCTTTTAAAAAAATGCATATTTTATATATTATATACTGCATTCTTACAATAAAGTAATCAAGAAAAAAAGAAAACTGTAAGGAACAGAAAATACATTTACAGTACTATACTGGCATTTATCGAAAGAATTCCATGTCTAAGTGGACCCACACAGTTTAAACTGTGTTGTTCAAAGGTCAACTGTACTTTGACAAAAATGGACACACAAACTGTCCAAAAGTGTAAATCTACTAATAGTTCATGGGTTCAAGTCCTGATGGAGTCTTCTTCTAACCCAAACTTTCTAAAACCAATGTCAGAGTTCTTTTTTTTTTTTTTTTAAGATTTTATTTATTTATTCATAGGGAGGGGAGAGAGAGAGAGAGAGAGGCAGAGACACAAGCAGGCTCCATGCAGAGAGCCCGACGCGGGACTCGATCCAGGGTCTCCAGATCACGCCCTGGGCTGCAAGCGGCGCTAAACCACTGCGCCACCAGGGCTGCCCCAATGTCAGAGTTCTAAACAAAGGGAATGAAACCTGAATATGAACTTTTGGTGCTGGTATATTTGAAACAACAAGTTTTAGAAGGAGAAGCTGCATATAACTTGAATTTGTGGGTCCTGATCAGATACACGCTGAGTGTGCTAGAAAAACTTTCACCTGGAGGTGGGGTGGGTGAAGGCAATGGGAAGAAAAGAATCCTTTTTTGAAATGCAGATTATCTCAAGTCATGGGTTAAAACAAGGCATTTTTATATAAAGGCTCAGATTCCATGAGAGGAAAAATTATTACTCTACACAAGGTTCCTCAATGTTGGTGCTATTGACATTTCTAGATATTGTATTGAGGTGGGCTGTCCTAAACATTGTAGAGAGTTAAGCAGCACCCCTGGCCTCTACCCACTAGATGCCAGGAGTAATGCAGCCTCAATCCCCTAAGTATGACAACCAAAAATGCCTCCAGACAATCCCAAATGTCCCCGGGGGGGGGGGACGGGGACAAATTGGCCCGTAGGAGAGAACTACTGGTCTAACCTTTACTTTTACTAGCTAATCTTCCTTCCTTCTCTCTTCTTTTCAAAAAGCCAACAAGTATTGCATAGGACTCACTTATATTAAAATAATTATTTATCATTCATCTAAAATTTACCTGGGCATCTTGCATTTGTTTGCCAAATCTGGCAACCCTCATGCAACAGAAATCAAAGATCTGGAATATCATGGTCCCACACTAGATATGTCCCTTCCCACTTCCACTGTGCTAATCAAGACAAGTTAAAGATTCCAAGAAAGATTACCAAAAATTGTTTGATAGCCCATTTTGTTCGAACCCCAGGGGTATCACAAGGCCTTGCTGATCATAAACTATGCTACAGTTCTATGCAGGACTTACCATTGGGGTCCTTCCTGAATAGAGTGTTCATCACTGTAGCATGAAGTTTCACACTATTCCACTCTTTCACTATTAGTCCAGAAGCCTGAAAACGTTCCAGCACTCGATCGACTAATTCCTGAAGCCTAAAGAAATTGAAGGAAGAAGTATAAAAATCTTAGTAACCTCATGAATCCCTGATTTACTGGTTCAATGTTCATAGAATATCTGTTCTGAGCCAATCACTGTGCAAGACCCTGCATAAGAGGAGGGAGAGAAAGGCCGCAGTCCCCACCACCACAGTGTTCACAGCCTTGGGGAGCAGATGGACGTGGAAACCAATAACTGAAATCCATCACAGTGAGTGTTAAGTGGGGGGGATCAACCGTATGTGAAGAGGGCCAGGTTTTCACAGGAAGCTTAACCATGATCTTGAAGGAATCAAAGCTTAGCATCTCGGGATAGGGCTCAAGAAGCCAGGTGCGACAGAGAATTGCCTAAAAGGAAGTGCTTTGTTTCATCCAGTCAGAGAACCTACAGCTACCATGTGGTTGATGTGTTTCTGCCAGGATCAAAGGAGGTCTGATATAATTCTCAGACATTTGTTCACTGGGAAGGAGCCTGCACTGCAAAGATTCCAGTAGCCTTGGACACTATCCCTGTGTTTATTTCACTGAGGCCGAAGTGCAGTACCAATAAAGACACTACAGGAAAATCCACAGGTTGCATGACTCTTCCCCATCTGGATACCAGATAACCTCTAAGTAGCAAGGGTTCTGCAGTGGCTGAGTTCTATCTTGATGATGGCCATTCATTCTAACACCTCTACCAGAAGTAATTCTTGCACAGATTTCTGCATACTGTCAGGTGTTTTGCTCAATAGCCCGAAGAACTCCCTTTCACATTTCTTGTAAGGCCACACTAGTGGTGATGAACTCCTTCAGCCTTTGTTTGTCTAGAAAACTCTTTAATCCCTCCTTCAATGTCTGCCTCTTTCAACCTTCCCCTTAGCCTTCTCTGAGATTTGTGCTGATGCTAATTGACTTCCCTGGCCCAAAATAATCTTCCATTAGTATATTAATAAACAAAAGATATCACATTTTTAGATGTACTGGTAATACGCTTTGTGTCAAACATCAGGGCTACCTGTATCCTCTTTTTCTGGATACAAGTAGTCCTAAGAAACTCAGAGTTCATGAATCTGCCTTTGCTTCTTGGGCCATGGCCCAAGTATAATGGCCCACAGAGTAAGCACTGTGGCCAGAGCACAGCTTCTTCTTGAGCAGGGTTAGACAGGTTGGCTTTATGTGAAATGTGGGCCATGCCTCACTTATACAGCCCATCTGTGGGAGCTTGCCTCAATCAGAACACTCTGGCTTCAGCAACATGGCTGCTTGATGCCTGTCTCTAAGTGGCCAACAGCCTCTAGTATCCTGACCCTCCAATGATCTTGCACTCATTGAGACGGGGGCAAAACAACTCTTTTCACTTGTACTGCATGCATTGCAGCAAGAGGAAGTTACCATCCCTGAAAAATTGATCCAGAAGCACAAACGATTATTTTCCCTGTCATGGTTTTCAGGCCCCAAAGTTCCAAAATTAATCTTCTTAAAATTCTAAATTACCTTAATTGCTGTTTATGAAATACTGGCTACCTGCCTACTAACCAAAGAATATTTATAACATGAGGTAAGCCATAATTAATAACAATAATAATATTAAAGTAAATACCCGTGTCCCCTTTTCCAAACTTCAGAACCGGAACACAGGGCTGGGAGTAGGGTAAAGCAAATGAGGAAATTACTTCAGGCACAAAATTTAAGGCAGTGCCAAAAACTGCAGTAACCAAAATAAATCATGTTTTAATGCAATATTTTAAAAAATCAAAATTAATGCAAAAAAATCCACGATGAATGGAATATCAAAATTTTGAATGAAGATGAGTTCAGTATATTGCTGAATTCTCCCTTTGTGTCAGGCTCCAGTGTGGCCCAGCACGGGGTAGAACAGGACAACACACCAGTAGTCCCTCAGGATGCTCCAGGCTCTGGAGATCCAGGTAACTCCTCACTGCCTCGTGACCTTGGCACTCAACATGCACATTTTGTTATCCGGCTTCCTCCACTAAGCAGCTTGACAACGCCACCTCTGTTGCCTTCTCTTCCCTGGGCCACAGTATCCACCCTCTCCCTCCACTTATGCCGATCCCTCAAACCCCACTCTTCCATGAAGTCTTTCCAACCACCCTAACACCCCCAACTTCACTGTATCTATGAGCAATGACTCTGCCCTTCTCCTTAGGTGTGCTCTACTTAGTATTCTCAGGGCCAGTCCCTTGCTGCTTCAAGTTTGTCTGTCCTATTCCCCTACTAGATTGTATGTTCCTCAAGAGCATCTGACATTTGTCTTACATCTTCCAGAACACCATTATACTTGCCTTTCAGTAACTACTGGCTGTGATTGGTTAACTGATGGATGTGACTGATTAAAAGTGAAAAGTGAGGAGCACCAGGGTGCTTCAGTTGATTGGGCATCTGACTCAGGATTTCAGCTTAGGTCATGATCTCGTGAGTTGTGAGATGGAGCCCTGCAGTTTGTGGGGAGTCTGCTTGGGGTTCTCTCCCCTCTCCATTCCCCCTCACTTGCATGCACTCTCTTTCTCTCTCTCAAATATGTCTTTTTTTTTTTTTTAAAGTGAGAAGTGAATTGGGATCCCTGGGTGGTGCAGCGGTTTGGCGCCTGCCTTTGGCCCAGGGCGTGATCCTGGAGACCCGGGATCGAATCCCACGTCGGGCTCCCGGTGCGTGGAGCCTGCTTCTCCCTCTGCCTGTGTCTCTGCCTCTCTCTCTCTGTATGACTATCATAAATAAATAAAAAAAATTTAAAAAAAAATAAATAAAGTGAGAAGTGAATGTAAAAAATAAAATAAACATAGTCTTGAAGGATCACTGAAGATTCACAGATAAAACCAGGAAAGAAGGACACTTTGAGCAGAAGAAACAGCATGTATAAAGATACCAAGGGATGGTCGATCACATCTTATTAGGAAAACTGATTACTGAATATGGCTGTAGCAATGGGTGAGGCAGATAGGACAGTGGAGATGAGCTGGATATAAGTGGTGGTCGGACCATCAGAAGCCATGGGGCTTTTAAAAAGAGAATGATGTGGTTAGAGGTCCGCTTCTGAAAGCTGACTCTGTGGAAGAGTAGAAAACCCTCTACAAGAACAGAGTAGAGGTACAGAGGTCAGCTAGAACAATGTCAGGCACTATTCTACACACTCAATATCTGTTAACACACTTCATCCTCACAATGAATTATTAATCCCTATTTTACCAATGAGGGAACTAAGGCACAGAGAAGTTATAAAACTTGATCAAAGTCACATAACTAATACGTGCCAGATACAAAATCAGAATCTATACTGTCTGGCTTCAGAGCACATGCTTTAAGGATTGCACTAGAAAAGGGGAAAGGATGCATATCCAAACTGTGGCAGGGGCAGTAAGAACCGAGATGAGAGAACAGCTTCACAAGAGCTGCATGAGAGAGAAGCTGATGCCCTCAGACATGGCAGTGTTCAAGCACAGAGAGCAGCTGAGGTGACTGGCAGGAGTCTGCCTTAAATGACCAGGTGGGCCACTGACCAAGGTGGGGCATTCTGGAGAAGCAATTGCTATTGTTATGCTATGTCATTCCAAAGAGAGGGTTAATACTGTATATGCTTTGGAACATGTGACATGGGACATCAAATAGGAGAGGTCCAGGAGAGGGATGGAAATATAAGCCTGAAGCACACAAAATACAGATTTGAAGGCCACCTGGGTGGCTCAGTCAAGTAAGCCTCCGACTTTTGATTTCAGGTCAAGTCATGATCTCAGGGTCATGAGATCTAGCCCCATGTTGGGCTACACTTGACATGGAGTCTGCTTGAGATTCTGTCCCTACTCTGTTCCTCCTCATACTCACTTGCACATGCTCCCTCTCTCAAATAAATAAATAAATAAATAAATAAATAAATAAATAAATAAAATCTTTTTTAGAAAGAAATAAATAAATAAAATCTTTTTTAGAAAGATACAGATTTAGTCATGAATGCAAAGCAATAGTTAAAAGCATGGAATAGATGCAGTCACAGTGGGTAGGAGGATTCATAGGGAGAGCTAAGGACAGAGCCTTAAGGGTCACACTTATGTAAGGGGCAGAGGAGGAACCAGCAAAGATCATCAATAAGGAGAAATGAGAAAAACCTTCAGAAGAGGACTTTAAAAGGCTAAAAGGAGAATTACAGGAGGAAAAAAATCAGTACAGTACAAAGTCACAGAAAAGTAAAGTAAGAAGAGGAACAAAATAAAGTCTATTTACTTCTCAGTCAGAGTGTACAGGAGACCTCTGCTGAAGCACACCAAGATGGAGGCCTTGGTAGAGAGGACCAAGGTAGAAACCAGAGGAGGAGAGAGGGGGTAAGTGCACATCAACTCTTTCCAGAAACTTGAAAGGAACCGAGGAAACTAATGCCTTGATAATTAGAAGACACAGGGGCAGCCTGGGTGGCTCAGTTGTTTAGCACGGCCTTCAGCCCAGGGCCTGATTCTGGAGACCTGGGATTGAGTCCCATGTCGGGCTCCCTGCATGGAGCCTGCTTCTCCCTCTGCCTGTGTCTCTGCACTGCCTCTGTGACTCTCATGAATAAATAAATAAAATCTTTTAAAATCTTTTTAAAAAAATTAGAAGACACAGAGTTGAGGGCAGGTTGTTTGTGTTTGCTCTTGATAAGGAGAAAGAACTGAAAATGCTTACAGACAAGAAATTATCCAACAGAGAACAAAAATAAAACTTTAGGTGATAGAGGAAATTGACAGGACAAGATCTCAAAGGAGACAGGAAGGGCTGATGTGCTCCAGGTGAAGGGGATACAGAGGTGAACAAGCCCCTGCCTTGAGGAGCTTACATGCTAGTGGAAGGAGACAGTCGGATAATGGACACATATACACATACTACAGCAGGTGGTGCTAAGCACCACCATAAAGAAAATGGAGTATTAAAGAAAGATGGGAATACCACTGGGAGTACATGTACCATTTTATACAGGGAGAAGGCCTCCCTGAGACAGTGACATGTGAGCAGACTCAAGGGATTAGCAC